TTATGCTTAGGGCAGAAAACAATACAGAAATTATATATTAAAATTGAAATGTACAATAGAAAATACACGTAGGAGTGGGCAAAATATACATCGGCACCATGCCACCCTCTAAGGCCATTTTTATGATCCCCAAGTTACCCTGAAGCCTCAATAATTTTTCCTTTCTTCTTCCCTCTCTTCCCTCTCCTACCCCCGTTTTAATGCTTAGAAAATCCCTTATGCCCTTCAGTAGGATATGGGGAGTAATTTTTTCATACCTTTACATTTATTTAGTTTTTTTTAAATGTGTTATTTTGGATCACTTGCATGTGGCCTTTTTCAGTTTGAAAACCATTTTTAAAAACTTGAAAAATTGTTGTGACTTGTGCCAGTAGCTACATACATACATACATACATACATACATACATACATACATACATACATACATACATACATACATACATACATACATACATACATACATACATACATACATACATACATACATACATACACGATTGTGCAAATTAAAAGCTTTAGTCATGGTTCTTCCCTGTTTCTTCCCTGTAGAAGTGCAACTCCTGGAAAGCTGAAAAATGACCCTTGGCCCTGCTGAGGTCACCAACTCCTACTTTAGACCTAGGTTTTGAAAATATGCTTACTGTAGTCTTAATGTTATTTCTGGAAAATATGCATTTGCCAGTTTTTTTAAAAAAGTTGCTTTCAGCACAGTAGATGATAGGAAAGTGTGTCATGGTGTGCTTTTTGCAGACAAGACTCACAAATGAGATGGTGTTTTGGTCTCATGGTAATCCAGTTGCAGGAATCCTGCCAAAGTATCTCATGAAGCTTGGCTTGAAATGGAGTGAATGCATGACCTGCATAACTGTACAGTAATTGGGAAACGAGGGAGCATAAGTACAGACTGTTACACAGAGAAGGAGGGGCCTTTTAGAGAGTGGATTTCTTGAAAGTTTCAGCTCTCTTCATTCTGATCTGATCCTTTTTCAGTCTTTTCTTCATGACACTTATGTCAGGTAGCAAGTATTTCTATCTGTTACATGCACTGTAGAAATAATCTTGTTCCAGGTAAGGAATTGTAGCTTACATTGGACCAGTAAGAAAAGAGAGCTATAGAGTGATGTAGGATTGGCAAAAAAGAATAAGGTAGTGGTGCTCAGATAATGTGAAGCTAGGGAGACTCAACAAAAATCTTTGCTCAGGAAGATGCCTGTAAGCATAATGATAGATTTTTGTCATGAGGTCACATTCTGACAGGAAAGCAGGGTTGGGAGTTTGGAAACAAAGCCTATAGCTTCTTTTAAATAAATTCCTTGTGTGGTCATGTGCTTAAGTTTAAGACCAGTGAGTTATTATTAGTTATTTAGAGCAGGGGTCCCCAACTCCTTGTCCACAGCCTGGTGATGGTCCATGGCCATGGTAGGGCCAGGCGGTGGAGACAGATCTCCCCCCCCCGCATGTACTCCCCCCACACCCCAACCACACACACAACCCACTACCTGCACGCATGGGTGCCTTGCCCACCTGCGAGCGTGCCCTGCCCACCACTTTTGCGTGTGAGCTGGCCCACCCACTAGCGCACCCTGCCCTTGGACGCACACACACGAGTGTGCCTCACCTCTCTGCACATGCACGCGAGTGCCCTGCCCCTCTGCAAACATGCCGTGCCCCTCCGCTCATGTGTGCAAGTATGTCCCATTGACCTGTGAGCGCGGTGGTGCTCCCCATGCACGGACCCTACCCCCCCAACCAGTCCGCAGTTCAGAAAAGGTTGGGGATGACTGATTTAGAGGATTGCATCACTTAATGATCCTACATATAAATGACACGTGAATCCCTGCACAAAAGGCATTTTGTTTAGAAATTTTGTAGCATGTGAAGATATCCTTAGAGAAACAGCAGTTTATGTAAAATCAGAGCCTTGTTATGAAATTGCAGACATAAAAATGAATATAGATCATGATAATATAGATCATGTTATATTTTAACATGTATTTTGTGCAAGAATGATTGTTTATATACTTTAGTGTAAGAAACCCTAAACTGGAAAACCATACCATAATTCCATTGCAGTTATAACCAGAAAGAATGCTGCCATTTAACTGTTAGTGATTAGAAAAGGGTCTGTCTGGCTTTCAAATGTTTCTGTAAAAACTCAAAGTATGTACATTTAAGATAAGTGGCTATTAAAGAGTTTAAGTCTTACCATTTTTGTACTCTATGTGGATTTGTTCACAGCAGACCCAGTACATTTGTTTTAAACAAACACAGACTTTATTGGCCGACACTGGCTCTATCTTGTCCAGCCCTCCTGCTTATCCTCTCAAAGTAATTAATGTGATTAATTTACAAGTAATTTAACCAGGGAGAGGATGTAAATCTTTGTTTTAAAAAACAGTTAGAGGTCCAAGTCTTGGTTAAAAACTGTGTCTTGAAACCATCCAGACCCTCCTACTGACTTGTCAGCTCTGGGTTATTTTCAGAAAACTTGAGTTGAGTTCCTTCGATTCAGTTGTATGTTTTTTCCCACAGATTTGCTTGGTATGTGCAAGTGGGAGAGTGAATAGTGGCCGCTATTTAGCCATTGTTTAGTCTAGTGTATGCATGTTTACATCTTCCTTCGGGATTTATAAGCTGCTATGACAAAATAAAGCTCTTTCTCAAGAACCTATTCGCTGTAGTACCTGGCAGCATGCAAGGATTTTTTGGCAAATCCATTTTTAATATTAGTGATTTACTATTTAATGTGTTGTTGTTGCACAGTTTAAAGTCCAAATAAGAATTGAGACATTGTTTTTGTTTATTGGAGTAACATAAAAGTTCTCCCTCTCTCTAGAAAAATATAAACTTTGCACAGTAGGATTAGAAGAATGAAAAACAAACAGATACTCCTTCTATATATTATCTGTAGTCTCTATATTATCAGAGTGCATAGAAATGGGCTTCATTTGATTCAATTATAGACATAAGCCAGAATACATACAGTAGGAAGTAAACAATTAAGAAGTGTGACTGCCTATTCGTATATGAATACCCCCATCTCTACTTTTAAGTTCTCTTGTCTTGTGAACAAACTGAAGGGATGTAGATCAGCAGGCAAATAGTCCTCTTGATATGTTTTGAACATGATGTGGTTATGTAGATTCCTGTTAGTGGATCATTGCACCCACAGACTTGGACTCAGTTGTTTTTTGTTACTGTGGCTAGAGATGTATGAAACGGAAGTAGCCCAAGACTGTTTAAAGCTTGTGTTATCTGAGGTGCAATTTAAAAAAAAATATTTTACAAATAGTAAGTGTACTTCTTACAAGTTGCTCCCTGCTTCCATGACAACTTAAAATTATTGCTGTGCCAAATAGCCAAGCCAGTTCACTGGTCCTGAATGTCATAGCAGAGGAGAGCCAAGACACTTGAGGTTAATGTGTTTTTACACAATTTTACACAATTTTATTCTTGAGAATAAACTATTGATGCACTCTCTACATTGGGCTGCCTATGAAGGCGGTTTGGAAGCTGCAGTAAGGGCAGAACACAGCAGTCAGGCTGGTTTCTGGAACATCACAATTCCATCATATTTCATTTGTGTCTGCACTGGCTGCCTATATGCTTCCAGGCCAAGTTCAAAGTCCTTATGTTAACATTTAAAGCCCTTAACGGTTTAAGGCCTTGCTAGCTGTCTGAGCACCTCTCCCTCAAAACGTCTACCCATCCCACCTGTACCTCATACAATGGGATGTTGTGGATAATGACTCCCAGGGAGGCCTCAAAATCTGCCACTCGAAACCAGGCCTTCTTGGTGGTCACTCCATCACCTTGGAACTTGATCCCAGCTGAGGTATGTTTAGCTAGCCCCTTCCCTCCTTGGTTTCAGGAGACAAGTTAAAGCCTGGCTTTTCTCACAACCTTTTCTTGACCTTTCCCCAGATTAATCTTGCCAATTGATGGGGCTTTTCCCTTTTGTTTATGTACCTGTCCTGTTTTTGCCACCTTTTTTGTATTTAATATTTTTAAAATTTTATAGTCTAAATTTTTACTACAGTAGATACTTCATCTCTTTCATCATTTCACATTTATCGATTATATGGGTGTTATTGGGGTGGTTTGTGTTATTCTGATTTGTTTGTTATCCTGAGTAGTGGTTCTGCCACTAATTGGGATGGATGGATGGATGGATGGATGGATGGATGGATGGATGGATGGATGGATGGATGGATGGATGGATGGATGGATGGATGGATGGATTGACTTCAGGTGAAATGGTTTTCATTTATTTTACATAAGCAGTTAAGACAGCCATTGTATGCTATATTCCATGCAATGTTGTATGAAGCTGAGATATCTGAAAGAAGCTGCAATTAACTGAAAAAAACACACCCAATTTCAGTACATGATGTGAATAAAGACTCTTTTTTTTTTTTACCAAGGATCTGACTTACATGTAGTTTTTCTTATTTTTTAAAACCCTTTTTTAAACATCGAATCATCATGAATCTTGTGCTTCTGATATAGTCTTGGAGCCCAACAAGGCTATCATATATGCTTCATAACATATGTCACTAGATAGTATGTATAACTTTCATGAAGCTCGGAAACAGAAAGCTAATTTTTTGCTTTCTTCATAATGTGTAAATGTACTGTACTACTGTTTGAACCATTGAAAATGTTTGGACTGTTGAGCTCATAGGAACTGAAGGTTTCTTAGTGTAAATGTATTTATACCATTCCAAAATAATATCAGTATGGATTTATTTGAAGTGTGTTTGCTCAATTTCACCTAAATTTTGTGATTGTTGTGAATTGTATTCATAGCAATGTTGTAATACTGTCCTATTTCTTCATAGGAATATTACTGCACTGTGGTACAGAGCATTCACACACACACACGCGCGCGCACACACAAACACACACATTCCACAATCCAGTTTAAATTGGGCAAGCTGTGAAATAAAGCTTTGTACATTTCTGTGAGATTAAATGTAATGACTTGGCTTTTCCATAGCGTGAGCAAGAGAGTGCGATGGCTCGCCTTAAAAAACAGCAACAAGAGCTTGAGCACATGAGACTTCGGTACCTGGCAGCCGAGGAGAAAGAACTGGGGAAGGCACAACGGCAAGAGCTAGAGGATATCAGAAATGAACTGAACAGGTATTGTACAATTTGTTAGATTTTTACTTCTGCTGCTGAATAGGTGAAGGTTCAGCAAAGTCAAATTTAATTGGCTGTCAATCCAATAAAGGAGCACAGCTTTCTGTCCCTTAGGTAATATTTGCCCATTTATAAAATGTAACAGTCTTGTATTATAGGAAATCTATGCCAAAGGCCACTAGACCCAGTTTTTTATCTTGACTGTAGCCACATTACTGTAAGCATTCCTCTTTTTTTAACCTTTTTTGTGGGGCCAAAAGCTGTCTTTAGAATCTAAGTAAACTTGTGTTAAAGCACACGTTAAGATGATTTGTTCTCACATCTCTGGTGAATATAACAGTTCATTTTGAGTGACTCAGTATTTTCAGCCCAGTACCTATATGTTCTCTTTATGTGTTCAGACAATTTAATTCATGTTAAAAATTACTCTTGTCCCTACATAGTTCACCAAAGACATTGTTGTCTTCTAGCAGTCTTATGCAATAAAATAAGTGTGAAATCACTTAATGTTGAATATTATTGTCTTGCTTCCTTTCAGCTGTGATTGCATTTTAATTCAGTTCAGTTGTCCCTTTTGCTTTCAAACAAACTAGCTGAATGCAGGGTGCTTCAACAAAGTGTTTCTTCTTAGATTAAAACAGGAGGAAGACAAAAAGCAATCCCAAGATCCTCAAGATGTTTTGGGGGCGCAGCTGCAAAATTCCCACAGTCGACAAGCCGACGAGAGTTTAGATGACTACCTTGCACGTCTCATAGATGAGAGGGATACCTTGTTGCGTACTGGTGTATATAATCATGAAGACCATATTGTCAGTGAGCTTGATCGCCAAATCAGTGAGGTGCTTGCGAAAAGAAGCAGAAGCAAGTAGCAGAACCCGAAGAACTGAATGTGTATTTTTTAGTAAGAAGTCCCAAGTTTTTGATAGTGATTTTGAAGGACTCGTGCACCTGCTTTGACTTTGACTCTGAAAACATAGCACAATATAAAAATATCTCTATTATTGAAGTCTGAAGAGAGAAGCATTCACTGAATGTTTCAGATCTTTTTAAAATGTTTGTCCATATTTATTTTTGTAGATGGTTGAGTACTCAACATTGTGTCACTACACCATTGCCTCAGCTGGTTTTATTTATAAACACTTGTAAAATTTCAGTTCTACATTTCTATTCAGCATTACTGACTGCTTGTTTTATAACTGTTTATCTGCCTACTTTTTTATACATTTATATGAAAACAACAATTTAAATAAAATTGAACAAGGAAAAAGACTGCTCTAATTTGTGTAAAATCAGTGTAAAGGTACATGCATTGCACTTTGCACCTTTGAAAATATTCAGATTATCACAGATTATTTGAAACAAACTACTGTAATTGCCTGTAAATATTCACTTATATTTTCTTACACTAATATTGTTTTCACTGAAGCATTCTAGTACTTACTGGACTAGGTCCTCTATTAATCCTGCTTGAAATCAGTTATTGGAACAAATCAGACTTCTCAGTCATAACTGCAGATACTTGTTTCCTTGAGTTTACCCTAGGCAGGGGTAGCATTGCATTTATGTATTTATTTAGAACAGTGAAGGTTTGGTTGGAAAGTTCCTGCACAGCTTAACTCCCCAGTCGAGATATCCACACTGGAGGACTCCACATTTCTAGGTGGAGATTCTTTGTGTATAGCAGTCCATAAGTATATTCATGAACCATCCAAAGTAAGTTGTCTAGTTTTTGAAAGATGCCATAAAGGTAATGTAAAAATACTCGGTTTGCATGTCTATCGGACAAGAAGCTTTCTGTTAGCAACAAACCACAAAAACAAGAAGTGGCTGAGTAGAAAAATTGTTAAATCTAATACTGTTATTTATTACAGTCTTGTGAAAAGAAATTATGTGATGACAGTCACTCTGGTTGTATTCAGAGAGGAATCTCTTCTAAAGAGTGTACATTTACACCAACTCAGCCTCATTGGAGAAGTTTTCAACATAATTTCCAGTACTAATTGAGCATCATCTGCATGGTACTCAATGTGTAGTTAAAACAGATTAGACACAAATGTGCATATAATATGTAGGACCACTCACATGGGTAGCATCGATGGGAATGCAGCTCCGAATTTATTAATGGGTACTGCTGTCAATGTAATCTTGGTTCACTAATTGAAGACAACTGCCTCTGGATTGGAACTTCTATAGCTGAAATTGATCCCTGTATTCTCTATTGTTGTGTATAACCACTAGGCTTTTATATACATGCAGTTAGATCTTAGGGTTCATATTGTATTTTTCCCCTACTAGCAGATTAGTAAGAATCTGTCTGTCTCAATATGCTTTCATGGTATAGCCACAATTAAAAAATACTTAGGCTACAGGTACCTGTATTCAAAACTGCTGTCCTTTGTAAGCTGTAGTGCATAAATGACCCAGCTCAGTACTGGTAACTGTTAATATAGACAGACAGGTGTAGTCAATCCTGTGCTTAGCTCCTCTAGACATGTGATGTGGTAAAATCAAGCATTAAAATTTTTTGCTTCTTAAACAGGTATGTTATATACAGTGATTTATTTAAAACAGGTTTTCTGTATTGTTGCTATAGCCCATCAAATTGTGTTTGATTTATGGTAACCCTAATAGGGTTTTCAAGGAACATGAGATGTTCAGGGAGTAGTTTACAATTGCCACACATGCACATTGTGTGTTTGCATGGTTTAGCAGGGATTTGAATCAAGGTCCTCTGAGTCCTAGTCTGACACTCTGGTACAGTGCAGTACACTGGCTGAAAGTTTGCCACACAGTACTGAAAAAATTGTTCTTTTAAATTGTGGAACAAAAAAGCACTTTAAATAGCATAGAAACACTGACTTTGTTTATAAATATACCATCTATTCACTTTTTTTATTAGAGGCCATTTTTTAAAATTACTTGTGCAGTTGTCTCTAATGCTGATTTTAAAATTTTTATATTTCTTAATCAGTATGGACAATGTAAATGATGAAGTGCAAATTTAGATAAGTTATTCTTTCAAAGGACCTAAAATGTAGGAAATGATGTTTTCTCTGTATTTAATTTTTATTGTTTGTAACAATTGTACAGGTATTACTAATATTTTTGTAGTATCAAATGCTTTGTATGCACTTGAAGATACAATGAATTTTTTTCATTAAATAATAATTTTACATTCTAGCATTAGGAATAACTGAAAACTACTGAAACAGCAATAACTTGTAAATATTAATTATGACTTTCATGTTGGACTGATAAGAGAAGTTCAGTAAATCGAATTGTCTTTTCGTTAGCTTCTAGAGGGTAAAATTCTATAGCACAAATAATTGATAACTTGTTTTGCAGTATATTTCAAACACTAGAGGGGGCCTTAACATTAAATAAAGGCAGTTTTTAAAAATCCAAAATATTTTAATGTCTTGATGAACCTAAATTTAATGAAATTGTATCAGTTTAAATAGTTCTGTTTTCAATATCTGCAATGGAATTATTATTTAAATAATTCTATTATTTCCAATAAAGGAATTGAAATAGCTAGAGATTTTGTATACCTTGATTCAACCATCAATTTAAAAGAGAGACTGCAGCCAAGAAATCAGAAGGGCAGCAATGAAAGAACTAGGAAAGATTATCAAGTGTAAGGTTGTGTTGCTGGAGACCAAGACCAAAATCATCTATATTCTTGCATTTCCAATCACCATATATGGGTGTGAGAGCTGGAAAGTAAAGAAAGTTGGCAGGAAAAAATGTTTGAACTCTGGTGCTGGAGGAGAGCTTTACAGATATCCTGAACCGCCAGAAAGACAATTAAGGGGGGCCTATAATAAAGCAAGCCTGGAAGCAAAAATGTTGAAACTGAGGCTTTCCTACCTTGGGCACAGTAGGAGAAGGCAGGATTCTCTGGAAAACACAATAATGCTGGGAAAGGTGGCAGCCAGGAAAGAGGAAGACCAAATACGGTATGGGTGGATTCCCTAAAAGAAGCCAGAAACTTCAGTTTGCAGGAGCTGAGCATGGCTGTTGAGGACAAGATATTTTTGAGATTGTTCATTCATAGGGTTGCCACAAGTTGGAGGCACATAACAACATATCCTTTAAAAAACAAAAATTAGGTTCAAACCTCTTTAAATACACCTCTTAAAGCTACAAGGTCTTAAGCTGCAAATCATCTTACACATCTGTATCTATATATTTCTTCATATCTCTATTTGTGTATCTGATGAATAGGTCCAACACTTGCACTTTCAAATATAGATAGATCTGCTACAGATGTGCAAGTGTAATCCATCTTGATTATGCTAGTCTTTTTAAAGGGGGGGAATACAGGCTGGAGTCATTCTCTCACTTGTCTTCTCCCCAATAAGCAAGGAATACTGTCAAAATTGAGGGCAGGCCCTATCCAGAATCATCTTCAGTGCAGAATAAAAATTTCCTGACCATTTGGCAGCTAATACATTAGAAGATTTTCGCGTAACTTGGCAGGAAATTACAAGAATAGTACTAAAACTATAGTAGAGCATATTATATACTATAGTATTATACTATACTACTAAACTAATAGCACTACACTTTATAATAATTAATGGTCATAACAGAATTGCAATATAAAGGCTGAAAATCTGGTGCTATGTGTAATGATGTCATCTGTTGCAACAATTTTTTGGAAACCAAACATTTCCATTCCCTACCAGCCCTCAATGACCTGAGGCTCCTTTGAACATGGGACAGCTGTTGGGTGCCACAGGACAGTGGGAAAACTTGGCTGAAAGTCACCACTGTTCAGAAAGTCATCCTGGTGTTCGCCATTTTTAAACCCACCCACCCCCAGATCCCACAACTACCAGTGGCTTCTCCACAATAAGAGACATTACACAGTAGTCTCAGAACATTTGGGGGCGAGAAGGATTGGAAACAATTTATTGTGAAAAAAATACTGCAGCTCATCAGCCTTACCTAGTGTAGCTGTGCAAACAGGATTTGTATAATACGTAGAATTTATCTTATGTATATACACTTATAAGAGTTAACTAGCAACAGAAGAGAGTCCTTTGACAGTAACTGTGGTGAATTCTAACAACATTTTTATACGTTATATGCAGTATCTGAAAAAAAGCTATTTTAAACATGGAAATAAGCTGTAAAACCATTTAAATAATAATAATGTGCCATCAAGTTATAGTGACCCTTATTGTGTTCACAAAATCTCCATTCTAGGTAATGAACTAGCCGGAATAATATTTTAATTCTTCTCAGTCAGCTATATAGTGTTGTGTTGTTGTTGTTGTTTTTAATCTTTCAGTGTTAATAACAAAACCCATATGTGAAGAGAAAGGATAAATGGTTTGAGAAGAATGCAAACTGTATAGAGACAGACAAGATGAGAGTACGACTATTCTTCTGCCTTACATTTAATTCTTATTTTACATCTCTTGTTTTTCTCCTGAAATGGTTTTTACCGCCATCCTGGAATTTATTGTATGCTGACAGCTGGGCTAGGAAAGAATGAAGAAAGAACTACACTGTGGGTTGGGAGTTGGAATTAGTGAGTTGGGGGGATGTATAGGGGGAAATGGATGGGTATGCAGTCTGTGAGAACTTCTGTGGGGAGGAGGAAACTGGAGTAGCTTCAAGAACTTTGGTCATTTTAATATTACTCTGTGTTTCTTTTCATTTTCCCTTGTTTAGATTGTGAGCCTTTAGGGCACTTGCTGTTTGGAGGTTTCTCTCCCTCCCCATTCCCAAGATTCTCTTCAGGGAGAAATTGCAGACAGTCTGTAGTTTTCACACTGACTCATGCTTTCCATCTTCCATTTTTCTTCTGACCTTTCCTGGAATTCATTTTTAGATATTCATTTGGCTTAGAGTAGACACTCTATGGGGAGGTGAGTGAGTAAAGGATTGAATAGAAGGAGCATATCAGCCCAAGATTGGCTTCTGATCTCCCCCCAGGAAGAACTGTTCGAAGGTTGAGAAGACAAGTGTTGTCTTGTTTAAATAAATGGGAAAGAAGCACACCATTAACATATGTTGAATCAACATAATTTAAGGCATAACGGAGTTCACTGTTTTTCAGTGCCTAGATAGAAATCTTTAAAAAGCATCATATATGTCTGAAAATTCTTGAGAAAGTGATCAGTCTTAGGTTTCCTAAGAATGTCCGTATTCTGGATTGTACCCATTGATGTCTTATTTGTCAGTGGACTACACAACTGACAGAATAGATTCTCTATCCCTCCTTGGGCCCACCAGATCTGGACCAGTAGGTTGGATAACCTTCTAGAGCAAATTTTAGGCGTGTGCATTGAAGGAAACAGGAAAGTCTGCTTGTGCAAGAGAACAGCTGATAGCATGACACTGAATGGAGTCCAACATTTTGGCATGCTTTGGGCAGCGAAGGCTCTAAAATTAGGATTGGAAATTCTTACGATAATGTGATCACTTTGATCACATTAAAATTAGAGTAGTCCTAAGGTTTCCTGACTTTCAATTTTTTAGTGATAACTTCAACTTTCTAGACTACCACAACACCCTCCCCACCCCAGAAATTATTAATAATCGTACTTCTAATTCTATGCCAAAACTTAGGCTGAAACCTAGATTGTTTAACAAAATCCTGCAGATGAAAAATACAAAAAGAAATTTCATATTTAATCTGAAACAACATTCTAAACCATTTTGGCAATCCCTGTCAGTGTGCTATTTTTAGAATGCCTATTTCAACATTTCTATTTGGCTAACACACACACACACACAATCTTCCAGAGCTATTATAGTATTGCATGATCATCAGGGAAGTAAGTTCCTAGTTTAATTAGATAAACATTACTAAAACCTATCTGCATGGACAATCACCCTTAATTTATTTTGCTACTGCTGTTCCTACATGATCATGACCTGTCTCTGGTCTTGAAGGGGAAGCCAACTCTTGCTATTGTTAAGGGGGTAAAAAATCCCGGGAATGACGGCAGTCATATACTCAGATCTCATTTCATTTGCTTCTCTGGAGGGTTGTATTAGTGTTTTCATTATAAATGTTTTCACAGATGTTGACTCTCCAGATATGAACTCTCTATGGTGGAGAGGTGGTCAGATATTTGGCATCTAGAACAAAAAGAGAAATAAGTTCTGAAAGCCTAATTTATAGAAAAATAATTTACTGTCTTTACGATGCATAAATGTAGAGTAAGTCTACAGAGGATTTAGGGTAGAGTAATTGAATTCCAACTAATGTAGAAGTGTTTGCTATTAGTCTTTTAAAAGAAATCTGTCATTCATCATGATAAAGGACTTCAAAAAAAGCACTCATAAATAACATTTTTGGGAAAGTTGTAGCCACTAATTTATATATAAATATTTTCTTTTTCATTTGAAGTACCTATATTAATGTGGCTATATTTTAATAGTATACAGTGTTTTGACCCATGTCCATTCAACGTGATGATGTAGATGTATGTCAAGCATCTGAACGCAAGGGTACTTTCTTTTTTCAATGTATCAAGCCTTCTTGTGGTGAATTTTCAACTGATATGAATTCATAATCCAAAACAGAGAAAATCTGTTTTTTCTTTCAAGTTCATAAAAATAGTAGTGATGTCACTCCAGAGTAATGTGTGTATCCCTCTAAATAAAAAAATATAGAAGAGCAAAAGAGGAATTCTGTATTTTGAAAAGTCCCATGGAATTCGGTTTTGACTTTTTTCTCTCTTACTTACTTACTTACTTACTTACTTACTTACTTACTTACTTACTTACTTACTTACTTACTTACTTACTTACTTACTTACTTACTTACTTACTTACTTACTTACTTACTTACTTACTTACTTACTTACTTACTTACTTACTTACTTACTTACTTACTTACTTACTTACTTACTTACTTACTTACTTACTTACTTACTTACTTACTTACTTACTTA